GAATCTGCGGAAAGGCTACATTGTTCCCTCCAAATCACCCATCTCGTCCCCAGTCTTCTTTGTGAAGAAGAAGGATGGGAAACTCCGTTTTGTACAGGATTACCGGAAACTGAATGAGTACACAGTGAAGAACCGCTACCCCCTCCCATTGGTGGCTGACATAATTAGTCGGCTTCAAGGGGCTCGATATTTCACCAAGTTTGATGTACGCTGGGGCTATAACAATGTCAGAATCAAGAAAGGCCATGAATGGAAAGGGGCCTTTGCAACCACACGAGGGCTGTTCGAGCCTAAGGTTATGTTCTTTGGTCTCACCAACTCCCCTGCAACGTTTCAAGCACTTATGAATGCCATATTTGCAGACCTCATTGCAGCTGGAAAGGTAGCGGTTTACCTAGACGATATCCTCATCTTTAGCAGTGATCTTCAGGAGCATCGACGAGTGGTACGGGAAGTACTAATCCGGTTGGAGAAGCATGATCTATACCTACGACCGGAGAAGTGTGAATTCGAACAACAACAGATTGAATATCTAGGCCTCATTATATCAGAAGGGGAGGTGAGGATGGACCCGGTAAAGGTAGCTGCAGTTCGCGACTGGCCAGCCCCCACTAACCTTCGAGAGCTACGAGGGTTCCTTGGATTTGCTAACTTCTACCGACGCTTTATCCGGAACTTTGCAAGGATAGCCAGGCCCCTGAACGACCTCACTTGGAAAGATATATCCTTTACCTGGATGGACACCCAGCAACAAGCATTTGATACTCTCCGAGAGGCCTTCATCTCTGCACCCATCCTAGCCCTATGGACACCGGACAGACCAACCCGAATTGAGGTAGACGCTTCAGGCTTCGCTACCGGCGGTGCCCTCATGCAGAAGCAAGATGATGGCCAATGGCACCCCGTCGCCTTCAGATCAGCCTCTATGCAACCAGCAGAACGAAACTATGAGATCTACGACCGGGAAATGCTAGCCATCATAGAAGCGTTGAAGGACTGGAGGAACTTCTTGGAGGGACTACCCCAGCCATTTGACATCATCACTGATCACTCTAACCTCGAATTTTGGCGCACAGCTCAAGACCTCACCCGCCGCCAAGCTCGCTGGGCTCTATACCTTTCACGGTTTGACTTCCACATGATCCACCGCCCTGGTAGAATAAACACTCAGGCTGATGCTCTTTCCCGTATGGCAGCGCACCAGGTACTAGACAATGAGGATAATCGACAGCAGACAGTCCTTAAGCCCAACCATTTCACCAAAATTGCAGCTTCTATCCTACGGAACCCCTTAGAGGATCGCATCCGGAAGGCCTCACAGCGGGAAGCACAGGTATTGGAAGGTCTCAAAACGGTCAAAGAGCACGGACTACAGCGCTTGGCCAATGGAATCGCCGAATGGGAGGAGGACAACGGTCTGGTCTACTACCGAGGACGAGTGTACGTGCCAGCAGACAATGATCTGCGCACCGAAGTACTACGTCAATGTCATGACCATCCCACTGCTGGACACCCTGGGCTCCACGGAACACTCGATCTAGTTAGCACCCATTTCTGGTGGCCAACACTGCGCTCCTTTGTGGAGAAGTACGTAGAGGGATGCGAGACGTGCGCACGCAAAAAAATCCAAAGACACCCACGAGCTGTAACTCAACCATTAGACGTACCCTTGGGTCTATGGGAAGAGGTAGGGGTGGACCTGATAACGCAACTACCTAACTCCCAAGGATACGACGCAGTCCTAGTCTGCACAGACCTCTATGGGAAACAAATTCATGCCCTCCCATGTACCAGCTCCATCACTGCAGAAGGGGTTGCTGACATCTACTACAAAGAAATCTTCCGTCTTCATGGGCTCCCTCTTCACTTCAAGTCTGACCGTGGGCCTCAGTTTGCAGCCAAACTCATGCGATCCCTACTTGCCAGACTGGGAATAAAATCAGATCTTACTTCCGGGTATCGCCCGCAGTCTAATGGTCAAACTGAACGCGCCAACCAAGAAGTAGAAAAATACATTCGACTCTATGTAGGTCGCCGGCAGGATGACTGGGCAGAGCACCTTCCAATGGCTGAATTCGTAATCAACTCACGAACCCATTCTGCATTAGGCATGTCCCCATTTGAGCTAACCTACGGATATCTCCCCTTGTTCAACATCCCAATTGGACAACGCAGTGGGATTCCAGCTGTAGATGACCGCATACGGATACTCTGAGAAGCCCGACAGGACGCAGGGGCCGCCTTGCACTTAGGAAAAAAGCAACAGAAAGAGGGATACGAACGAGGAAAACGGAAAGCCCACCAGTTCAAAGTCGGAGATTTTGTCTGGCTCAGTGCGGAAGACATCAACCTCCAACTGTCCAGCGAGAAGCTAGGAGATCGACAGCTCGGACCCTACCGAATCTTGGAGAAGATTGGACCCCTGGACTACCGCCTTGACCTCCCTATCTCCCTTGACCGCATTCATCCTGTGTTCCATGTTGACAAACTCTACCCCTGGAAAGGTAACACTATCAATGGAGAAATACCACCACCACCAGAGCCGGTCTACCTAGAGGATGAAGACGAACCGGAGTATGAAGACGAACCGGAGTATGAAGTAGAGGAAATCCTGGATAGTCGGGTCCGGTGGAAGAGGTTGGAATACCTGGTAAAGTGGAAGGGATACGACGCAGGGCATAACTCCTGGGAACCAGCGCCCAACCTGAGCCGAGCTCCAAAAATTGTTCGTGCCTTCCACAAGAAGCACCCCACAGCAGCAAAAGCTTGACCATCGAGGGCAATGGTCATAAGAAGGGGGGTAATGTCATGAAGTATGTAGCCCCTATCATTTTCCTTTTCTCACCGTCTCGACGCCCTTACTTGTACGATTACATCACTGTCAAATCCCATTGATTACTGACCCACCTGATCCCCATCATCGATTACTGATCCACCTGTTACCCTTCTCCTTCTACTGGCTTCCGCCACCTTCCTTGTTCCTAAACTGTACAGTATTACATCGTCATTTCTCGCAGATCGGATTATGTATATAAAGCCAACCCCTCACAGCCTGGTCCCTCATCTTGACCTCTCTGTCATTATCTGGGACCAGGTATGTGCTTACTTATTGTTACCTATGACTACGATACTCAATATATCTCTGTCATTATCTGGGACCAGTTTGCCTCCGCTCTGCTTAGTCGCTCCGCCTCACCGCCTTGCTTAGTCGCTCCGCCTCATCGCCTTGCTTAGTCACTCCGCTTCCCTGCTCCGCTAGTCACTCCGCCTCTGCCGCTTCGTGACACTGAGGACCTGGTCAACAAACATTAATGCAGTCATTGATATTCAAATATATAACTGAAGACTCAAAAATTGCAATCCAATCTTGAGTGGAGCCGGAACGCATCCGGAACGCACCTGAACGCATGGAATGCAGGTGAACGCCAAGATTCAAAATGAACGCATATAAGGTGAATGCACCTGAACGCATATGGACGCAACATCAATTTCACCTTGCTTTGCTAGGTCCTTCCACACCCTGTAATTATGTAACATTAGGTGCGCGTGCAAGATTTTTCCCACGTTCTTTCTTTCAGCATCTCAGTCCAATATGACTTCAGTCGCTCACCGTTAGGAGCGCGTGCAACATTTTTCCCATGTTCTTTCTTTCTGCCCCTCTGTCCAATATGACTTCAGTCGCTCACCGTTTCCGGGCAGTACTTCGTTTTTATTAAATACACCTCGCCTGTCCGTCCAATCTCACATCAGTCATTGACTGTTTGCGGGTTGTAAGTTCCTTTTTTTACTTGCCCTTGTACGAAGGATGGACTGCCTTTGTTGTTGACGTTGTATGTATGTATTTCTACGATAATGCTGATCGTATGCCGAACCCACTCCTTTTCCTCACTGTGATAATGGTCTCCGGCGCCCACATCAGGTACCGCACTAATTGGTTATATCTTTCTTGAGGGTATTGTTTTTCATTGATACTATTTTGCCCAATGTCTTCCGCTCATTCTCTCATGCCCCCACTTATCTCTGGCACGGTTTCGCAATCAACGATTCCTTCGTCTTATCAACTCATTTCCTTCGCGGTGCTCCCTGACGACATCTTAATTGAAGTTGCTTCTTATCTATCCCGCAGAGATATATCATTTTTTGCAGCGGTCTCTAAACATTCCTCGTCGGTGTTGCTACCTATTATATATCGAATGATCACCACCAATGCTTTCAACACCGTCGCGCTTGACCGTCCTCTGTTTTGTATTCTCACCGGCGCACATCCTGCTTTGAATGTATGGGAGGTGGTCCTTGGTTCCGATTTCCCACCTATAAAACCCGACATCCTCAAAGCCGGAATACGTTCCCTGGATTATCATGCCTCACAACCTGTTCTGCGTTCTCTTTCTATCTGCTCCACAACAGTCATGCTTTCCGATGTTTTTCCTCATTTGCCTCGGAGGTTGACTCCTTCTATACTTTGTTTTGAATGTCCTTTGTTGGGGTCTAGACCCCGTAACTGTATTTCGATCCTGGTCTGTACTTCCTTTACTTTTCCAACTTGGTTATTATTCTGAACATGCACAGCGATCCCTCGTCTCTACTGTAATGTTTCTGAGTAATATTTGAATAAGACTCTCGATTCAAATCAACGAAATACTATATACCTTAAGATAGACACAATGAATATCCTTCCTTGTCGTCAAGCTTGTGCGTTGGATGCCCGGAAGTCGAAATCAACGATGAGCACGAGGCGTCAAATGCGCTGATATTCGGATTAGCTTATGTTCACACGAAGTAAAGCTCAATATAGATGATATTCAAAGAATCGTAAAAAGGTCGTTATTCCTTAAATGCTATGTAGATTTATACTTGTTAGATACTTGTACAGAACAGTGGAGAAATTGATAGAAGATTCTATCAATTGCACAGGTCAGAGATGACTTGGAGTGATGAGCTCGATGACTTACTCTGCATTTAGTGTTAGATCCATCACAGAGCCCCCCTACTCGACGAGATCAGAGAGACTCAGCAATGAAGTTAGCAATAATATTGCTATCCTCCTCTTCTTCTGTAATATAGGCCTTGGGAATGAATTTGTTGATTGAGGAATTAGTCAGGTCATATGGATCCAAGAACCAAGTTAGAGCCATGGAGGAATGAGTTGGGTGTAAAATCAGGGCTAGGTCTTGTTCATAGTCTCCAGTTAACTTGTTGATTAGACTAGAATGACCAAACTGCATCGTTCCCCGAGAAACTTGTATGGAGAACTCCTCCTGAGTCATACCAAAATATTTTCCCCAATTTACTTCTGATCCTAATCCCTTGAAAATACTGATTTTGATCATTTCCCGGACCCATTTAACATAGAACAGAACAAGCATGTTGAATGAACCAACAACGCTCTTAATTCCATCCATAGTAGTGGATTTGAGTCCGAGAAGAATGTTATGGGTGTTGTTGGCAAGAGAGATGTGGGGGAATCGATTCGAGTTAAGAATGCTGGGAATAACGCAACAAAGCCATTCAAAGGACATCACGTCACGAGGGATACCCTCTTCGATGTCCGAATGAATTCCTTTTGCAGCAGCCACAACAACCGTTGCAATTTTAGCTGAGTACGTTTAATCATGTTAATACATAGAGGGATACAAATAAAAACAAATGACCTTACCCAGCTTCAGCCATAGTTTCCTGGCATAGTCAGGAGTCAACGCATACAACCCATTGTCTAATTGGATGATATGTTTATCGGTAATGCATTCAATACGGAATGCTTCCCCAAGGTGACTTTGCACAAAGGCACGTAAGACGGGGTCAGGAAATGCATCCTCAAGAATGAATAGTGGGTTTGTTTGATCACAGCGAATGATTGCAGTAGAGACTGGAGGCATGATGAGAAGAGGGCTGAAAAATGGATGCTATCCGAAAGAAATGTAGCTCGAATTGAACTGAATATTTTTTAAGATTTCATAGAGCTTTTATACTAGTTTTATGTCAAGTCGCAGGCCATTTCCAGAATAGTCGCTATTGCCTATAATCACTTCATGTTTGCAGCATGTTCAGAGCCAACTCCGCCTGTACCGAAGTTGCTTTGTCTTCAATGATGGCTCCAACCACGCTTAAGTCACTTGAGCTACTAGGCTTTGGAATAAATTGAGAAATGAGAAAGTCACTTTACGGAAATGAAAGCAGTAACATAAATTGAATCATTAGCAGGTAATCACATATGAGATGTCACCTCAGGGCTTATTGAGCCATTTACCCAAAATTTCCGGTGCATTTCGCAGTTGTACTCGAGTTTTCCATTCATCCTCCACTGGATCCATATCCTTCCATTGTACTTTAAATTGTTGAACTTTCCTCTTGCCAATCTTTTTCCAACGTTCTGCCACAATCCGCTCAATTTCTACTTCTGGTAAATCTGCAAAGTCCTTTCGGTTAAGTCTCTTCCTTGGTCGTTCACCAAACTCCGATGGTGATTGATTGTATAGTTCCAGGTGTGCAATATTCAATACTGGATGCATGCCATGTGAAGCTGGGAGGCGTAACTGATATGTAACAGGAGAAAGTTTGCGAATAATTTTGAAGGGACCATCATATTTCATAAGTAGCTTCTTACCTCGTCCCTTTTCCTCACAAAGAAGTTGAAGAGAATGTGGGTTCAAGACGACCTGCTGTCCTTCCTCAAATTCATGTGATGAGCGACCCTTATTATATGAACGCTGCTGATATTCCTGAGCTAGATATAGTGCTTCCTTAGCACGGTTCCGATCTGCATCAAAATGTTCAATCATATGCTGTGCATCTTCATTCTGGATAATACTAGGGTTTTTCCCCCCACTCGATGACCGTGGAATTGCGATAGAAGGGGTCATTAGAGTAGATGAAGTAATAGGATTAAACCCATAAAGTAGATATGATGGAGAAAATCCTGTTGAACTGTGTGGTGTAGAGTTATATGAGAGTGCAAGTGAATCGAGATGAGTATCCCAATCTGTATGAGATGGACCAACATATGCACGTAGAGTAATTTCCAAAGTTTGATTCAAATTCTCTGTTTGGCCATCTGCTTGCGGATGATATGAAGTTGTGAGAGCTCGTTTCATTCCCATTGTTACAATCACTTCTTTTCATCTTATCTTTTCCTTATCTTGTCTTATCTTTTATCTCCCTTATCTCATATCTTGTCTTATCTTGTCTTATCTTGTCACCTGACCTATTGTTCATGCTTACTGATACAACATGCGCCTTTCATTTCACTTATATTAAACACAGCAGTCTTACAACACGCATACAGCATGTCGATCAAGTCTTTATTACTTACACATTGCTTTACTTAGGTTTTATCTGTTTCACACATGTTTTACTCATGCTTACCACTGACCCAGAGTATCAGACATTACTAGGGCAGAGGGTTACTTACTTGTATATAAGCTGTAGTTACTTGCTGTATTTCCTTAGCTTTGATCTCATCTATTCTACCTGGTTTAGTCCAGAACTTTGCTTGCTTCCTCTATCGCTCCGCTACCTGAGGTTTTCTTGAGTGTGACACCTGGTGACACCCGTTACTAGAACCAGTCGCTGACAGAAGATCAAAGCTATTTCTTACCACCTGTCACACGCTACGCGATCATATCACTATCACAGTTATTCCCGCTCACATTTTTACCAACCCTTCACAGACTTCTACTCTCTCTTCGAACAGTGTCGCCTATAGTACAAAGGTGTAACGTTGAGTCCGACACCGTACTGGCAGACGAAAGCGTCGACTGATCACTAATCTTCGGAGAAGGGTCTTCGCGTGCACAACGAGCTCCATTCCTAGACAGGGAGGGTGCATCTGTTCATCAAACGAGAGTGGAAGGCTGCTTCCCACATCATCGTACTCTATTCTCAAAATCTCTCCCACATTATTCCCGACTTCTACGAATCCAATCATACATTTTCCCATCATCACCACCGAGTTGCATTAGTAACTCGTCTTCCTTACAATGGATTTTACTTCAAGACTAGGACGACCTAGACTTTCGGTACAAACCGATCGTTACTGTACCCCCGATTCATCTGCTCCATCTACTTCATCCTCTATCAAACGAAATATCACCTCATTCATACCCGCCTACATACCACCCAACTTCAGCATGTCTAACCCTACTCCTGCTCCCACCACCACTACCTCCAATATTCATGGCAAGTCGTTGCTCAGAGAGCCTAGCATCTTTGATGGCGACAAAGCCCAGTTCAAAGAGTGGCGCCGTACCCTCTTTGCCTACATTCGTGATCCAAGGAATAGGATCATCACAGACAGTGAAAGAATTGACATTGCGGTCTCGGATATGCGAGGTCCCAAAGTCAGTAGCTGGGTTCAGAATTATACGGACAATAATTTCAATGACGACGAGGAGGAATGGAGAGTCACCTGGAAAGGATTCAAGGACGCATTGAATGCCTCCTTCCTAGACAAAGGATTTATGGAGAATGCACAGGAGAAGCTAGAACATCTCCGTCAGGGCCCCAATGAGAGGGCAGAGGATTTCTTCAAGGAATTTGAAGTCATCATGCGAGATGCCGGATATGCCAAGGATGCCCCCTATGTCATCAGGCTAATCGAGATGAACATAAAGCCAAAGCTGATTGATCAAGTATACGGTACCAGTAATGAGCGAATCGAGAAGTTTGATGAGCTCAAACAGAAGATTATCAGCATCGATGACATGTGGTGGTGCCGTGAGGAAATGCAGCGAAATTGGTCAAACAGATACCAGCGGAATGCTGGGCAAGGACCTAGTAACCAGAGATGGGAACCACAAACAACACAGGCTCCCGTAACCAAGGCTCCAACCCCTGCGGTACCTACCCAAGATAGGAAAGACGGCACTGGGACGATTTTCAAAGGTGCAGGCAGACCGATGGACATCGACGCTGCGCATCACAACAGGGAATGCTTCCATTGTGGCAAGCAAGGCCACATTGCGAAGTTCTGTCCAGAGAAAGCACCAAAGCCACAGTTCGTCAGAGGCATGTGGAGCCGGATGACACAGGAGGATCAGGAGGCTATGGCCAAGGAATTGGGTTTTGTCCTGCCCCAGCAGTAGACGCAGGTCTGCCGGGGCCAATCTCAGAATCAGTATCGGACCTTTCGTCATCGTCATATGTAGACAGTCAATTTAGTTTTGAATTTGGTAGTACTGGTACATCCAATAAAAATAACTTATCTACAATGATGACCTGAACTGAGGAAAAACCTGTGAGATATGAACCAAACACACCTGAATGGGTGGCGCAGCGGTTACAAATGGACAAACTCCCTATGGCTATAGGAATCCTTAGAGCCTGGATGCCTGAAAGTCATGTCAGAGAAGCATCGGAAGAAACAGTATTGGCTTTACGAAATCTGAGTCATGCAACCGCAACTGAAGCAGTTACCAATCTCAAAAGTCGTAAGAGATTCGTCCGAGGTACCCGAGGACGTGAGTTAAAGTTGCGGACCACTATTGAGAATATCGACAATGGTGTACAGATTGAAACGGAAGCCCTTCTAGACAGCGGAGCCACAGGGTCCTGTATCAATAAGGATTTTGTAGAACGGCACCAGCTCACTGTTAAGGAGTTACCAGTCAAAATGCCGGTCTATAATGCCGATGGCACTCTGAACAAAAATGGTTCCATAGAAGGCTATGTACAAGTCCGAATGGTGATAGGAGATCATGCCAAACGAATAGATATGGCAGTTACCAATTTAGGCATAGATTGGCTACGTTACCATAATCCCAGCATTGATTGGAAGGAATCCATGTTGATGTTTGAACGTTGTCCTGACAAATGCGGATATCTGCCACACTATGAATCACCTGAGGATGATGGTACAGGGGAAAAGCTTATCGATGGTGAACGGATCTTCTGGTTTGATTGGAATGGGTATCTTTCCGACCAAAGTCATATCAAAGTACAAACTGCTACTACAGATGCCGCTGCTCCATACCTTGCCGAGTATGCTGATGTATTCAGTAAAAAGGACTTTGACCAAATGCCAGAAAGACGCCCGTGGGATCATGCCATAGAACTAATGCCAGGTTCCAAGCCAGTCGATTGTAAAGTCTATCCCCTCAGCCCGCCAGAACAGAAGGCTTTAGATGAATTCCTAGAGGAAAACCTTAGATCAGGACGAATACAGCCATCACGTTCACCCATGGCTTCACCTTTCTTCTTTGTAAAAAAGAAAGATGGAACACTACGGCCCGTACAGAATTATTGAAAGCTAAATGACATGACTGTCAAGAATCGATATCCACTCCCGTTAATCCAGGAACTCATCGATAAACTGAAGAATTCCAAGGTCTTTACCAAAATGGATGTCCGATGGGGATTCAATAACATCCGGATCAAAGAAGGAGACGAATGGAAGGCAGCGTTCCAAACAAACAGAGGCTTGTTTGAGCCTACGGTCATGTTTTTTGGACTTACAAACTCACCCGCCACGTTCCAAGCGTTCATGAATCATATCCTTCAAGAACTCATTGATCAAGGACATGTCATTGTCTACATGGATGATATCCTTATCTTCACGGACAACATTGAGGAACACCAAGTCATCGTCAGAAAGGTTCTTGATATCCTAAAAGCCAACAAGCTGTACTTGAAACCTGAAAAGTGTACCTTTGAAGCTAGGGAGGTCAAATATCTTGGAATCATCGTAGGCAATGGACAAATCTGGATGGACCCGAAAAAGGTTGAAGCGGTCCGAACCTGGCAGCCACCAGAGAAAAAACGAGAACTACAATCGTTTTTAGGGTTTTGCAACTTCTTCCGCCGGTTCATCCGAGACTTCAGTAAAATTGCCAAACCCCTAACACGGCTCACAGGGAATACAGCTTGGGAATGGACATCTCTT